CATTGTGTGTTTCTAAAAAAAAAAAAAAAAAAAAAAAAAAAAAAAAAAAAACATAAGCAGGTACATTAAAATAATAATAATAACAATAAAATACCTGCTATCACGAGCGGATCTTGCTCTGCCTCGTGCTGATTCAGTGTAAAAACTCTGGCATTTCATTTCTTATTCTTGTTTGGATCATTATCCTTCTTCTTTGGAGGCTCTGTACTATTGAGAGCAATGTGTCCTGGCTTACCACACTAGAAACATATATTCTTCCCGAGTAAGCATTTACTCCTATGGAGTTTATTATACTTAGGATAGGGTGAAATACTCCCACTCGTCCCACCAATGTGAACTCCTGTGCTTGGCCTTTTATTCTGTCAATTACGTTTGTTCTTGCTCTCATCTCTCCACTTACTTTTTCCTAACGACTCCTTGCTTTGTTGGGTATACAATTCAAATGTGGTTCTCTGATATGAAATAACATAAGTCCTCCCCAACATTTCACGATATGAGGTGAAATGATGTACATAATGATCATGTCGATCTCTGGGTGCAGTCCATTTTTCGAACCTCCTAATCTTCTTAACTTCGGTATCCACAAAATGCGAGGCATATCTTGAGAGCTGCTCAAACTGCCTCTCATAATTAGTAAGGGACATGTCTCCCTGTCTGAGTTGTAGAAAATTCGATTCCTTGAAGTCTCTCAAAGCCTATAGAAAATATTTTACCATCACTTCATCATTAAACTACTCTCAAGTCAGGTTACATTACTGCTCTTCCATCCTAGTGTGTGAGACAGATTCCCACTAGTAACTGGTTGCTCCAACAAACACGAATTCTATGGATAGGACTTTTCTGTGCATCCGTACAAGCAATGTGTCGAAAGATGCACTTCAGACCTCTAATCCACTCCTCAACAGCTAGTGGGTCGGAACCACCATCGGAAGTCGGAGGCTTGTGCCTACGAAGCCGCTCAACCACTGAGATGACTCTCGGGACAAATGGAGGTGCATTTTGTGACGGCGATGCTTAGCTCCGTCTGCTTAGTTCTTGTATCGCTTGTAGTAAATCGCGCATCAACTTCGTGTGAGTAGGTGGTGCCATTTCATAAAATTTAATATGAAGTTACTGATCGCATTCCGTTACTAAGTCTAACAAGTTATACTAATTTTATCATAATACAGATCATAAATTTAGTAGAGAAATAAAGTGCGTGTCTTAAAAAAAGTTAAAAGTAGGCAATTTGAAAAAAAAAATGTAGATTATACAAAAGTTTAAGTAAATTCATCTTCTTACCCTTTGGAGGGTGGTCGATTAGTGGTCGTTGAGTGCCAAAAATCATTCATATAATAAATAACCTTAAATTGACATTATCATTGAATTCATGGATCTTTAGAAAAATATAATTTTTTTTTTATCAAATATTACGCAAGGGAATGACTAAACAAATAAACATTTTATTATATGTAACATTTAAAACATGAAAAGTCTAATAATTAATATATATATATATATATATTAAACCTAGAAGAGGGTATTTTGGAAGTAGGATTTTATTCCAAAAAGGGGCTTAAAAGTTAATAGGGTTCACTCCGAAAAATTGTTTACATATAAGCTTATCTGCCTTCTGGATATAGTTTAGACCCTTGTACTTCATTCTCTTTTCAGCAATTGTATATTTTAATTTTTTATTGTATATATATTTTCTCAGATATTGTTGCCACTGTTCATGTACCAGATTTTTTTATCCAAAACTCAAATTATGAGAATACACATGGGTCTACAGGAAATTAAACCTATACTGTGATACCAAACTGTAACGAACCAAAATTTAAGATTTGAATCGTTACCATTAAATTTTGGTAAATATAAATTTTGGTAACGATTCAAATCTTAATTTTTTGGGTCGTTATGAAAGAGAACCCTTCAATTTAATTTTCAATTAAAAAGACATTGCGACGAAGTGGTGCATAACGACCAACTATGTATAGGGCATAAAATTTTTTGTATACATTAATTACTGTGCTTTAATTTGGAGTCATGCTTATGCTTAATTTTTATGATAAGGTGCTACCCATCGCCCATCAATCGCCACCCATTCCACAAATAGGCCTAAGGTGACTCATTTTGCTTCATGATTAAATTAATTTCTTCCTTGATTTATACAGATTGTTTTGGCCCTTTTAGGTTTAGTTTCCATATAGCTTTTCATTAATTTTTTTCAATTTATTGTTATAAATTGATGAATAATTCTCCTTCAAGTTGTGTTTAGAATAAATTTTGTCTAATTTCTAATTTATTACCTTTGTTTTTCCCCTATTCCCCAGTTTTGTGTTGTTTTATGGATTAATGTTTCACGTTGCTGTGTGTAGTTTTATTCAGAGAAGGTGATTGCACCTCTTTTGATGTAGATGACTGTCAGCCCTTGGTGTTGCATCTATTTTTAGTTTCGAAATGAATTCCCTCAATTAATTGGTGTTGATTCCACTTTGTGAACAAGGTTCAACTAAGGTATTCCGTCTTGCACTGTTGGGTCATTTGTTTCCCCACCATGATTAATATGAACATAGCTATTAAATTTGTCTTGTTTTAGGATATTAATATTAGAACGTCACTTTATAATTTGCATTTAGGGCTATCGTGCCTCTGGTTAAGGTTCTTATGGTCACTACAGGTTAAGTTATAGTGTCCCTATATGGAATTGCTAATGAGTATAAAATTTTGGTTCTTGTGGCTGTTGCATTCTATGAATATTTCA